CACCACGCCCGGCTAATTTTGTACTTTTAGTAGAAACTGGGTTTCTCTGTACTGGTCAGGCTGGTCTCGAAACTCCCTACCTCAGGTGATCTGCCCACCTCAGCCTCCCAAAGTGCTGGGATTACAGTCGTGAGCCACCGCACCTGGCTGGCTCTCAATTTCATCAGAGAAATGAGAGGCCTGGATTTCACGAACAGAAAGGTCCACTCCAGCTGCAAAATTGGGTAGATATGCAGCCTCCATTTGATGCTGGTGTTTCACAGGTACTTTCTAGTAAAAGTTACAGGAACTGGCATTCCTGAGTGTCCCCTGCACGTCAGACTTAATGCTTGCTGCCCTACCTACCTTCACTTACTTATCACCCATAACTACCCTTGATGGTTAATGGACATCTCCCCATTCATTACAAGACAAACCCAAGGTTCAGGGAGATTATGTCAATTACCAAGGTAACCCAGGTAGCAAGTGGCAGATCCAAGATTCCAGGAGCCAAAGATTCACTTACCCACATTTGCCCTCTAGGTGCCCATGACCTGGCCACACCAGAATGGTCACAAGTAAGTGAAATCATGCCTGTCTTAGCTCCATTTCCCAAGGCCAAATTCCTTAGGCACTGGAGCAGCGGTCTTGATTCTGCAGGTAACTCAGCAGGAAGTAAAATGAGACAGTGGTTAGAAATGTGTGTTCTGGCGTGAGCCTGCCTAGTATTCACATCTCAGCTCCACAAAGGTTGAGGGGCTTTACCAAGCCTCCCTGAGCATTGGGTAATTCAGGTAGGTAATAGTTGTACCTAGTCCCAGGGTTGTTAGGAGGATTTAAAGAGAGAGCCCACATAAAGCTGTCAGCAGACTGCCTGAATATAGTAAATACCCAATCATTATTTGCTACCTAGCTAAATAGGAGGGCTTTTGATGGTGGCAAGCAATTTCCAAGCTTATCTATGGCAGGAGTTATGAACCTGGGGTCCAGGAGGTCCCTGAAATTATTTAAAAACCTTTTCTCTAGGAAGAGTTCTGAACCTTTATCAGTCTCATAAGGGTCTGTGACCTGACGGAGGTTAAGACTTTTTGACTGCTGTAGACCTGACTTCCTACCATATATATTATTTCTCAAATAACAGGGTTAGCAAAAGATCCTCAAGTCGTGGGAGAAATTGCTGGATCCTCTCAGCATGGCCTCTCCAGGCATGTGTGCCTCTGGTATTTATCACACAGTCCCAGAAACTGCCCAGAATTCCCAGGTGGTTCCTATGAGAAGGTCTGAATACAAATCGCACAAAAAGAAGGAATCAGGCTGCAGGAACCTTCTCTGGGAGGGCCAGCCCCAAAGATCTATTCTTCCTCCGAGAACAATCGGTGCATTTGTTTTGCATACCACGAAGTGAAATACACAGGACACTGGCCCCTTTTCTGGGAGCTCACAAAAGCACCCGGAGTTACTCTGCAAAAGGAGCATGGCTCCAAGGTGCTGTTCAGACCTGATCCACAGCACCTGATTCCAGAAGGGCCTGTCACCTTCCCAGTCTGGCCTTGACTCAGGAAAAGCCTGTGGTGCTGCTGGAGCCTTTGGCCCAGTGGGCAGGACCCAAGCTGTCCACTGGACCCTCTCCGGTTGTTGGGACAACCATCCTCAGGAATTTCGGCCTCCCAGTCTTCCCCTGGGTGAGAAGGGGAGAGAGTTGGCAAGGCTGGCTGCTTGGCTGCTCTTCCAACCCCCTGGTGAAAGGGGAAGCTGAAAACTGGATTCCCTACCCCCAGCAGCTCCTGGCCGGCCAGCACACAAAACAGCTCAGCCCCAGAGGGAGGAATGTGCCAAGACATTCTTTAGGGTTGGTAACCAGAGACGCTATTTTGTCCTTGGTGGCTAAGAAATCACTTTTCTGACCGCAGGACCATTTGACTTACTTCTTTTAAATTCAAGGGAATGGGTGGGCATCTCCATGATTCAGGTAAGGAAAAATCCAAGGCAAATAAACACGCACGCACACACACACACGGAGTGGAATTTTTAGTGCAATTTTTTGTCTCACAGAATTAATTAATTGCAGGGATATAACTACCTTGGCAGAATTTTTTCTCCCTAACCCACCACCCCCAAAATAAGTTTGGTTCTTTTCAGCTTTGTTAAATTTCTTCTTCCTTTTTCTCATAGCCAATCCCTGTTCCCCCTTCTCCTCTCATGGAGTCTGGAGACGTAAGAGAGGCAGAAGGGTTTGAAATAATATCTAAGAGCTGGCAGGCCCGTGAAGACCATCTAACCAACCCACTTCTCAAGCACTCAAACCTCAGAGAGGTCAAGCGATTTGCCCAAGGCCACACAGACAGGACTAAAAGGCAAAAATGGGGTATGCCAGAGGGAAATTCCAGAAAACCACAAGTGGATATCCTCCAATTAGCCCTTTTCCAAAACGTACAAAGCTGTACGTTGTTTTTCCAAAACGAGCACAATAGTGACCCCCAGAGTTGACCTGAGACCCCCTCAGGATCCCAAGTTCAGGGGCCCAACACCAGCCCAGTGCAGGTGGGATGACAAGGAGGTACAGAGATGAAGCTTCGAAACCAGTGACACAAGGCCAAGTGTGGTGGCTCACACCTGTAATCCTAGCACTTTGGGAGGCTGAGGTGGGCGGATTGCCTGAGCTCAGGAGTTCAAGACCAGCCTGGGCAACACGGTGAAACCCTGTCTCTACTAAAATACAAAAAATTGGCTGGACGTGGTGGCATGCGCCAGTAGTCCCAGCTACTGGGGAGGTTGAGGCAGGAGAATTGCTTGAACCCAGGAGGCGGAGGTTGCAGTGAGTCAAGATCTTGCCACTGCACTCCAGCCTGGGTGACAGAGAGAGACTCTGTCTCCAAAAAACAAAAACAAACAAACTAAAAAACAAAAGCAAACAAACAAAAAAACCAGTGACACAAGATGAAGAAGGTGAGCTGCTCACCTAAGTGCCACTGTGTTTCTGCCTCCTCTCCATGGCTTGTCAATCTGCTTAAAAACAAAGGCTGGGCAAGCAAGGCATTGGGGCCTTAGGCTGGCCACAGTACCTAGCTAAAATATACTAACACTGTTTGTTTTTTTGTTTTTGTTTTTGCCTATCTTTTTTGTTTCCCCTTTATGACAATAGATATAGCTAGTTTCCCATTTGTGAAAATAGTACACAAATTTTTAAAGTGAGTTGATCTAAAGTCAAGGAGTAAGTAAGCAATAGCACAGGTGGATATAGCAAAAAAAATCATGGAGGTGGTCCATGTAACACTAAAATTTGGGAGACTGTGCTCTAGCCAATCAGTTCTTGATAGAAGCTACTTGCTTGCCCTTTTCCAAGGGTAAAGAATTACTGTTGAAAGGAGTCTCCTATTGCTGTATTAGAAGTCCCCAGATGCATGATTATCAGTGTTGGCAGTGGCGGTCCTTTCCCTCCAACAGGACGTCCAATTGCTAACAGCACACAGGCCTCAGTAAACTACAGGGACCTAAAGTGGGGCAGGTCACATACGCTTGAACTTGTGTCTGCTCTGAGAAAAGGACAAGAGAAAAGATGCTGCCAAGTGCACCAACACAGTAACAGAGCCGGCAACTGACCTGAGTAGGGGCAGGGAAGCAGCGTGTCAGGGTGACAAGTTTGAAGGTTAGCACTTCAGAGCTGGTGAAGAACTGGTATGCAGAATGGCAGAAAAATAAAAATATTTGAGCAAATCACACCTCTGGGCTTCAAATTTTCTCTTATGTTTCAAATGGGAGTTGGGCTCTGATCTACATCCCTTCCAACTTTTAAGCATCCCAATATTCCCTTCCAAGCAAACCTTTTAAATTCAGGGAAATGGTGGGCCTCCCACATCTGACAAACAGGGAAACTGAGGCTCAGAGGTTGAGGTAGCTTACCTAAGAGATGCTCTCTAGCACTAAATATTTACCTTCCAGATTACATTCATGAGACATTCAGCATGGTGCTGAGTGTAGAGGAGACATCCAGGAAGTGCTGAATGAATGAATGAATGAATGAATGAATGAATGAATGAATGAATGAACGAACGAATGTAACTGCTCCCAGAAGATACCGAGAATCTCAACTCTCATTTTCTTTCTGCTTATTTTCTTTTTTTAACTCACATCTTGCTACATACACTTCTGGGACACCTCCACCCCAACCACACAAGATGAAGAGTCCAAGAAATTCACCTTGGTTGCTTTACAGGGACCTGACCCCCAAGGTCACAGACACGTTTAAAGTCCACATTCCCCAAGACACTGCCCACAGACCGTGTCAGCAACACCGTGGTCCGGGGACTCCAGGACACACATGGAGAGGGTGTATGTATCTGTACGTGTAGCATGTGAGCAAAGAAATGCCAACCAACCAGGAGAAAGTCTGGAGAGGTAAGAGCCACACAGAGCCATCTCAGGCTCCACCTGCCTCTGCACATCATCTCAACCTACAGCGGCCTGGTACCCACCAAGGTCAGGTCCCGCTGGTGCAGGGCTGAGGAGCCTCGCCGCCCCCTCCCCCGACCAGGGAAGAAAGGGAGGAGAAAGAGGCGAGGGGCAGGGCTTTCCGGGGCCTCTCACCTCCATCTCCATCCTAACAGCTTCCAAGTTGCTGCCAGATTCCTGGATAACCAGTCTCCCTCATCTGCCCTCCCCCGCTTCTTCACTTCCTCCCCACCCTCGGGTTCCACGGCCCCCCTGGCTGCCCCTGTGCTGTTCTCAGCAGCTTCCAAGGCACCTGTCAAAAAGCACACCCCAGGATGCCTTCCCCTGAGCCAAGTGCCCTCTCTCCAGTGGTCTCCCACGGAATCCTGGGGTCCTCACCACCCCCTCCAAACCGGACACCTCCCCATCCCCATCCGCCCACCCCCACGCTGGGTGGAAGCGTCCCCGGGAAGACCCGGCTTCACCCGGTTAGGTCGCTCCCCCAACCCCCGCCCCCACCCGACCTCTCTTCCCAAAGGGGGCGGGCGGGGCTAGAGCTTAAGGTCAAAACTCCTGGCAGGTGTCGGCTGGGGCCTAAGTCCTCCAACTGGGGATGGCGGTGGGGCAGCCTGGGCCAGCTCCCTGGCAGGCGCCTCCTCTCAGTTGCCCACTGAGGCGGGAGCAGCGCTCCAGAAGGTTGCGGGGAGCAGGAGGTGGCGAACTGAAAAGAGCTCAAGAGGCACGCAGAGCTCCCCCGCCCCCGCCTAGTCCCAGCCGGCGGCTGCAGAGGCAGGTGGGGGGCCGGGCGGGGGTGTGGGGGCACGGAGGAGGGTCCCGGGGTCCTACCTGTCCCGCGGGTCGATCCAGCTGGTGGTGCGGTTCGTGTGGTCTATGTAGTAGACCTTGCCGTCGAAGTCGCGCGCCTCCTCCCAGCCCTCCGGCAGGGGCAGCTCCGGCCGGGGCATCTTCCTGAGCGCTGCCGGCGCTCCCCCATGCAGCTCCCGACCGCAGCGGGGGCTCAGCGGCTCCAGCCGGCCGCTCTTAGCCCGGGCGGCCGCCGAGGCACCATGATCCGGGGGGTGGCGCCCGCGGATGGGGGGCCCTAGTGGGGGCCGGCCGGGGTGGCGCCGCTGTCCATGCGGCCCTGCGTCCCCGACCCGGCGCCGCCCGCTCCTCCCGCCGCCGGCCTCTCACGCTGCCATGTGCGTCCGCAGCGGCGCGGTGCGAGCCCGGGTGCGCGCCCAGCCGGCCGGGCAGAGCGAGCCGAGCGCCGCCGCCGCCGTCTGCCCTCCTCCGCCGCGCGGCGCGCTGCGCCCTCCACGCCGCCGCTGCCGCTGCCGCCTCCCTCTCCTCCCTGCAGCCGGGTGCCGTCCCTCCTCTCCGCTACGCCGCTCTGAGCTCGCTAGGTTTCTGACTTCTGCCTCCGCCAGGTGCGGCTCGGGCGGTGCAGGTAACCGCGCTGCCCCGGAAACGGGAGGTGGAGCGCCGGCCGCCTGGGTTCCCGGGTCCCCTCCCAGCGCGCAGCGCCACGAGGGCGGGTCTTAGGGCCCGAGACGCGCCCCCTCGTGGGACAGTCCCAGCCGCCGGCCACCCCTACGCTGCCCCTGCCAGGGGAAGGAGAGACCGCCCCTCACCTGCGTCCCAGACCTAGGGGGCTGGGCCGAAAACCGCTCTGCCTCTAGTTAAAATGCTCCTGTCTCTCTCCACCCGGAGTAGCCAGGCTCTTGGCACAGGTGGCCCCAAATCTTAAAACTCCCTGCTTTTCTGTGGTGTAGAATCAGGAGTCAGGCAAGAAGTGGTTAAATGGAAACATTCTTGCGAATTGGGAAACATAAGTTTTCCAGGATCTCTGGTCCCTTCCCCCAACACACGCACCATCTGTCTCCTTCTATTCAACTCTCCCTACGACGTTTCGCCCACCCTCCACCCCTCCCTACCATTTGGAAATGTAGCTGGCTCCCCTCAGGGCCCCTAAAATTAGGAGCGCTGTGGATCCGCTTTCCTGGGCGGACTTCCAGAGGGTGTCAGGGAAAACACTTTGTAAAAGTAATAGTAATGCCATTGTTATTGTTAGCTAAATTGAGGACTTACTTGTGACAGGCTGTGGCTAGCAGCTTCAGAACAGGCGTTCTTTCCTGTGATACCTTGAGGTAGGTGTGTTATGGATTTGGGAGAAGTAGGGTTATGAAAACGAAAAAAGTAAGCAAAGCAAAATTCCATCTTGAAAAATGTTCAAGAGAATAAAATAATCAGTTTCTTGAGAAATTAAAAATGTAGAATTAGCTGGGCATGGTGGCTCACGCCTGTAATCCCAACACTTTGGGAGGGTGAGGCAGGCAGATTATCTGAGGTCAGGATTTGAGACCAGCCTGGCCAACATAGTGAGCCCTATCTCTACTAAAAAATAATAATAATAAAAAAATTAGTTGGGCGTGGTGGCAGGCACCCGTAGTCCCAGCTACTCGGGAGGCTGAGGGACGAGAATTACTTCAACCTGGGAGGTTGAGGTTGCAGTGAGCCAAGATCTGCACTCCAGCCTGGGCAACAGAGCGAGACTCTGTCTCAAGTAAATTAATTAATTAATTAATTTAAAATGTAGCATTAAATACAAAAAGCAAGCTAGCATGATTGAGTGAATGATCAGCTGGCTGGTCACTTCCCCATCTCCTCTTACATCTGTGTACTGAGTGGGAATTTAACCCTTTTTTGCCCTAGGCATATGGCAGGAAGCTGAACTGGTCGAAGGAAGCCCAGTTCGGTGTCTTCTCTTGCCTGGGGCCCACGGTCTTCCAGAAGAGCCAGCACCTTGTGCTGTATGGGCCAGGGTGTTGCCGAGCAAGAGAGGGAATCGTGTTTGTGGTCTCATCTCCTCTTGACAGAAAAGACCCACCAGAGTGAGCCTCGCCTGCAAATGCCTTCTGCATAGTTAATTCCTTCCCTGAGGCCAGGCCCAGGGGCTCAGTGCTTGGCCGTCCTTCATTCCATAAATACCAGGCACCAGAGTCCAGGGACACCAGCCTTAGACTGGCCCCCAACACCCAAAAGATGGAATTCCCCATTCCTTTTTGGGGGAATTCCCACAGCCCTCTACACTTCCTCTGTGTGGGTCAAGCCTTCACTACATAAAAACCCACTATGGGGCCGGGCGCAGTGGCTCAAGCCTGTAATCCCAGCACTTTGGGAGGCCAAGACGGGTGGATCATGAGGTCAGGAGATTGAGACCATCCTGGCTAACACGGTGAAACCCCGTCTCTTCACGAGGTCAGGAGATTGAGACCATCCTGGCTAACACCGTGAAACCCCGTCTCTACTAAAAATACAAAAAAAAAACTAGCCGGGCGAGGTGGCGGGCGCCTGTAGTCCCAGCTACTCGGGAGGCTGAGGCAGGAGAATGGCGTAAACCGGGAGGCGGAGCTTGCAGTGAGCTGAGATCCGGCCACTGCACTCCAGCCTGGGTGACAGAGCCAGACTCCGTCTCAAAAAAAAAAAAAAAAACCCACTATGGATTAGAGCAGTAGCCCCAAAGCAAAGCCAACCTGGTGCTAGGTTCTTTGAATACGTGATCTCAATGTTCATAACAACCCTCTGGTGTAGGGAAGGCTATTTATTATACCCATTTTACAGATGAGGCTCCAAGATGCTTTGTTGTTGGCCCGGGATACAGAGCTCATAAAACAGACCAGGTCTGACTCCAGTGCAGTGTTCTCAGTCATTAACCTATACTTTCTTTTTTGAGATGGAGTCTCCCCCTGTCCCCCAGGCTGGATGGAGTGCAGTGGCACAATCTCAGCTCACTACAACCTCTGCCTCCCAGATTCAAGCGATTTTCCTGCCTCAGCCGCCAGAGTAGCTGGGATTTCAGGCCTGTGCCACCACGCCCAGCTAATTTTTGTATTTTTTAGTAGAGCTGGGGTTTTGCCATGTTGGCCAGGCTGGTCTCAAACTCCTGACCTTAGGTGATCCGCCCACCTCAGCCTCCCAAAGTGCTGGGCTTACAGACGTGAGCCACCGTGCCTGGCTGACTTTCTTTCTTTCTATTTTTGAGACGGAGTCTCGCTCTGTCACTCAGATTGGAGACTTTCTTTCTCTTTTAAATCACTCTGTAGCCCCAGAACCTCCCCGTGGTTGGGATGTGGAACATGACTGATACTGACAAATGTTCGTCTCTGTTGATGTTTGCTTCATAGTTTTTTGGCTGAGAAGCAAGAGCTGTAGAATCAGGCTGTTTGGGTCCCAAGCCCGCCCGGTTTTCTAGCTGTGTGACCTTGGGCAGCTTGCTTCACTGAAGTCTCAGTCTTTGATTTGAAAAAAAAAATCACATAACAATATGGACTCCTTTGGGCTTGTGGTTAGGGCAAAGCAGGAGGAGAAATGTGAGGGCTTGGCACTCAGCAGCACGCCTTCATCTCGGGCTGCAGTGCGGTGCATTCGGAGCACTGTGCCTGGCAGCAGACACACCTTTATGAAATGTGGACCAATTGAAGTATTTTCTGTTCAAAACACAAATCCACGTCCTTTCCCCTCCTGAAAATTATGCCTGGTTGCTTGCAACAGTCCTCCTAATTTTTTTTTTTTTTTGGCTTTATTTTTCAACCAAGCCTTTTTATTGGTTGGCATTGATTGTGAAGAGAAAACACCTTTTAGACTGCCAAGTCCTGCTTTCGTTTTAGTCCGGCCGCCCAAACCCTGGCATTTTCCAAATGGCTTGCTGCTTTGGACCTTTTGACCTGGCCTGGGAAGCAGGAAAGAGAGACCAGAGCAGGAATTGACTCCTGAATTAAGAGCTTGGTCTTTCGCTCTTTTTACCTCCCATCCACCCCCAGCGAAAGAATCCCAGGTTATCTCGAAGAAGCTGCAAGCAGGGTGAGGTAATAAAACAGATGACTGCCTGCCCCATGTGATGGCGCGTGAATCATCCTGGACATTCTGCGAGGCTGAGGGCAAACGTGGAAGAGATTAAAGGTAAAACCGGCTCAGCCACGTGATAGGCTGAATTGGATGTTATTCTACAGGTGACTGAACTGTAGGAATCCGAACTGAAGACGAGAAGCCCAGGTCTCTCCTGGCCATCCTCCTGGGGCTGTGTCTGACTGCCTGTGTGTGGAGTAGAAGGAGACAGGCTTGGGCAGTGCAGAGGTGACCACGGGCCAAGCCTTTCTAATGACAAAGGCCATATCCCGGTGACCCAAAGGAATCACCTGAGCCTGGGACAGGCTGTCTTGTTTTTAAAAACGATGCCCACTTAAACCCTTTTCTCCACTGCAACTGCCAGGAAGAAAGGCCATTTTCCACACGTGTTTTAGAGTGTTTCAGAGAGCTAGAGTCACATATTCCATGAAGATGGTAAAGAGGAGAAATTAAATGTAAAAAAGAAGGAACAAATATGTCAGCAGTCGAGTTTCCTGTTAGCATCTGTATTCTTCAGGGGAAATGGAGGCTTTGAGAACCTCTGCTGAGATTTTGCCTCCTGCTCCATAACTGTATCTCCCTACCTCATGCCGTCCCTCCCACACATCCTGGGGAATGCACAGTTATGTTCTATGATGGAGCCAATAATGTACCCTTTCTTGAGTCATGCATTATTTGAGGTTCATAAATGTGCTGTGGACTGTTTTTTCCAATGATGGGAAAACACGTCTTAAGCCAGAGAAGATGGGGGTGGAAGAAACCTTGGTAACATGAGAGCCGAGGCAGAAGAGATGGTTTTTTATTTACCTCTAGGTCCTCCATGCTTAATTCAGTGCTCCGAAATGAACTGAAACAAGTCTTGCACAGCCTACTCATTTTACAGAC